AAACGAAGTATTACAATTTTTAAGGAATGCAGACAGCAATACAATTAGGAAATGAAACTATTTTTCCGGATTTAAATCGCGTATATTTGTTTTTTCAAACAAACAGTCAACCGTGACCATGGGACCTGTAAAGGGCCCGAAACGTCGGTTTGTTTGAAAAAACAAATATACGCGATTTAAATCCGGAAAAATAGTTTCATTTCCTATGTGTAACAATCGCGAAAACCTAAGAGCAATACAATTACTTCAATATTAAAAAGTTTATGTAAGCCTTTAACTGAAATAATATTGTGCGTAAATAACAACATTGCTCTGTCTATTCGGCGTTGTTGTGGTGAATTGGGTAATGTTACGAGTGATGCTTAATTCTCCAAAGTGCACTACTTATTACAATTGTGTTACCACACATCAGTCTGGAGAATTAAGAATAGACGATTATTTCAAACAAAATAACTTAAATTGTTGACTGAAAATAAATATGTCCATTTACACTACCTGTTGCATAACTGTTTGCCTGAATAACATAATGGTCAGACCAATAAAGGTTGGGGACATTGGGGATTACATATAAATTTAGGTGACAGTACATTAGTAGAAGCACGAGGACATATTTATCCTTTTGGTCCTACCAGTAGGAGCATAAGGACATATTGGAACTCGTGCTTCTACCAGTAGGAGCATAAGGACATATTTTTCCTCGTGCTTCTACCAGTAGGAGCATGAGGAAACGGCCAGGAGAACTATGTATAACAATAAAGCGTGAAACATACGTGGTATATATGGTGCGAGTCGGGCGCGTGTCGGATCGGGACCGCGACGAATCAAATTCCGTGTATTTATTTATATGGACGACAACAAACATGTATGGAATGCTGCATAGCAAGCAATTTACCAACAAGCACATACCTGGAGTATTCCTTATAGTAGCATTTAACATTATTAACTATGATGATGACAGCGTAACAAAACGGTACTGTCTATTTTTCAGGGTGTTGTAGAAAAATATCTGAATAGAATTCGCAATGTGGACCGTCATCGACTGGGCCGGGAACTATTTATTGACGAAGTCTGGAAATGGAAGGAAGAACACGGCAACGCAATTGGAGATCAACTACGTAAACTTGGTTGCTCCCTTGATTGGTCCAGAGAAGTGTTCACTATGAACGCAGACCACACTTATGCAGTAAACATGGCTTTCCAAAGGTTGTTTGATAGAAATTTAATTTATCGAAAGAAAGCTCTAATTAACTGGTGTAGGGCTCTTAATTCAACTATCTCCGATATTGAACTAGATTTGTTGAAAATAGATGGGCCTACGCATCTAAATATACCTGGATATGAAAAACCTGTGTTGTTTGGGCAGTTATACAGTTTTGTTTACAAGATATTTGGGTCGTCAGATGAGATTGTGGTGGCAACCACGCAACCAGAGACTATGTTAGGGGATTCAGCAGTCGCTTTCCATCCTGATGATAACAGGTAAGTAAATGGTGTAATATTAAGACATAGCATAACACAGGTGATCATATTTCTGCTGTTGAATTTGGGCATGATTCAGTCATCAATAAATTTTCACCTTTTGCAGGTACAAGAGTCTTGCTGGTAAAAGAGTTATCAATCCACTCACAGGTCGTTCAATGCCAATAATTTTTAACGATTTTGTTGATATGCATTTCGGCTCTGGTGCCGTTAAAATCACTCCAGCTCATAGCAAAGTCGACTTCGATATCGCCAACGAACATAACTTGGAGTATAAACAGGTTATTGGTGAAGACGGCAAGATGCAAAATTCAGGCAGTTACGACGGTCTGATGCGATACGATTGCAGAGAAAAAGTAGTCCAAAAACTAAATAACGATGGATTATTTGTAGGTGTCCTTCCACATAGTATGTGTTTGCCGATTTGCAGTCGAACAGGGGACGTAGTAGACTTCTTGCCCAAAGAACAGTGGTTCATATCATGTACCGACATGAACGAAAGAGCAGCTGAAATGGTCAAAAGTGGCCAGCTCAAAATAGAACCGGAGAGATTTGTCGATAACTGGCTACAATGGTGTGCGGATGACAGAGATTGGTGTATTTCACGACAACTTTGGTGGGGTCATCAAGTGCCTGCGTACAGATGTTCTACGGTTGATAAAGAGGTGATCTGGGTAGCTGCACAAGATGCGAACGAAGCGCGAAAACGTGCATCTGTATACTTGAGGACGTATCCAGATTCAATCCTAGCTGAAAGAGATCGGGACGTGTTAGACACTTGGTTCTCTTCTGCCATTTATCCTTTCGCGGCTTTGGGTTGGCCCCAGCATCACTACAGCAAAGACTACCACGATTTCTACCCATTAAATTTAATGGTGACCGGACATGATATCCTAGGCTTCTGGGTTCACAGAATGGTCATGCTGGGCTTAGAATTAACGGAACGACTGCCATTCCCAAAAGTGCTGCTGCATGGTATTATTTGCGATAATAAGGGAGCTAAAATGTCCAAAAGCAAAGGGAACGTGATTGATCCAATCGACATCATCAATGGTATATCTTTGGAAGATCTCAGGCAAAAAACTATTGATAATAAAAACAAAGGTCTTTTGAATCAAGAAGAATTCGATAAAGCAATATCATATCAAAGATATAATTTCATGGCTACTGAAGGCATACCTCGATGTGGAGCAGATGCGCTACGGTTCACATTACTTTCCCACGATATAAAATCTAACTTCGTCAACTTTGATATCAACATGTGCCACGCAAATAAGTTGTTCTGCAACAAAATTTGGCAAAGCGTTAAATATCTGCAACTGAACTTTGACAAACTGAATAAACCGCACGATGTGGTTTGTTTAGACGATCTCACATGTTTTGACAAATGGATACTTAGCAGATTGCAAAATATGGTTGCGATTGTCAATAAGACTACAGCTGATGCCGATTTCCATTTGACAACAAAAGCGTTAAGGACCTTTCTGTACAATGAAATGTGTGACATATATTTGGAAGCAACTAAGCCTGGTTTTCAAGGATATAAAAAGACAGTTGCATTTGCCCATGCCCATACATTGTCTGCAGTGTTAAACACAGGGCTTCGATGTCTTCATCCATTTATGGTTTATCTGACACAGGAAATAATCCCAAAAATTCCTTCTTTTCAAGATAATATTATTTACAATTTCACAGATTTAGACAAACCAGTTTTTGATTGGCCTTTGCACAGTGACTTTCAAAGTTGGGATCATCCAAATGTGGAAAAGAAAATTGGAAAGATCCTGAACACTGCATCTTTGGTTAGAGAATTGAAAGGTTTATGTGGTATATCTAATCGGTTGCGACCTTTAGTTTGCGTAAGAACAGCTGATGTCGATTTGAAAGATGATCTTGAAAATTTTAAACCAGTAATTCTTGGTTTAACGAAATGCAAAGATCTTCAGTTTGAGGATGCAGAAACGGCACGAAAAAGATTCATAAAAGGTTTCATAGATTTCGATACATTAGTTGGTGTGGAAATATTGAGTGACGACGTAGAAAAAACATTATCGATGGCGAAACGAAAACTGACGCTGAAAATTGAGAAACTAGAAAAGGCTTTAACGAAGTTGGAAACAAAAATTAATAATTCAAATTACGTTAACACTGTATCAGAAAGTATGCGTATTAAAGAGAAACAAATTTTATTACACAAAAAAGAGGAGCTAAAAAGAATGCAGACTGATTTAGGAAGGTTATCTTTTGAAAATATTGGCATAAACAAGAATAACTTAGAAATTAAGTGATAATGTTGGATATTTTAAATTATTTGGTTCATTTAGTCGAACGTATGACGTAAAAATATTATTGTTGGGTTGAGAAATAAGACTAATATTTAAAACAATTATTTTATTTTAACTTATTGTAAAACTCTGTAATTGACTAACAATTAGGGCCTTGAATGTAAAACTATTTTTGAAAACAGCTACAGTATAATGAAGGCCTCCATAGACTGAAACAACAGTACTAGACTTGAACCGGAGCGGCAGCGGCAGTTTTGACCATATCCATACATTGTCAGCTGTGTTAAACACATCGACAAAAACGCGTTTCTAGTATGCAAGTAACTTGCTTAAGTAATTAACAATTATTTTTAACGAAAGTTAATATCATCATTTTACAAATCTAAACAAATTATAATTAGTTGGAACATAATAGCACAGGTGTCAGGCCTTCCACTATGCAAGTAGCTAAGAAGTAACACAATAATGAGATGGAACATAATAGCACAGGGCTCATAAGATAGGTGTCAGGCCTTCCACTATGCAACTAGCTAAGGAGTAACACAATAATGGCAAGTGTGCCTATGGTGTCTTTTTTGAAGATAGATAAAGATAAATGACAGTGTATTGCGCAAGTGTTGCCCACTTATAAGCAGCTGCAGCTTTCGAAATCGGTCTACTTTCCCGATCGGTCCACTTGTCCAAAAAAAATCCGTTTTACAAATTTTCAAAGGCAATTTGTAATAATAAATAATGCGTAATTGCAGATTGCCATGGAGTACATACATTTTTTATATTTTTGATAATGATGGCCAGTTTAGAAAAAACAAAATGAAGTAGACAGTTGGTTTTTAACCGCCTTAAAAAAAAGGAGGAAGTTCTCAATTAGACTGTATTTTTCTGTATATAATTATGTTACGCGGTAACTCCGGTTAGTGAACCAATTTTAACGACTCTTTTTTGTTGGAAAGAGGGTACCTCAGTAGTCCCATTTAAATTTGGATAAAATATTCCACCTCTAAGGGTGGCAAACTAGGGGGTGAATCCGGTTTCGCGCACTTTCCGGTAACCGATTTGAAACTTTTGAGGTCGGTTTTTAGTACTCTGTACTGAGATTTTCTGAGTAGGCGCATCATTAAAGTAGACCTATAGGGAAAGTAGACTGATCGGGAAAGTAGACTAAATGAGAAACTAGACCAAACAGGAAAGTAGACGAAATGGGAAATAGATAAATCGGGAAAAACAAGTGGACCGATCGGGAAAGTAGACCAATTGTACCGAAGGGAACTACACGACTATTTAAAATTTTATGAGTAGCTTAGTTAGTACTTTAGTAGCAGTAGAGCTCCTTGCGGAAGAGTTCGTCCAGGGAAGTACTGTCACCTTACCTGTTTCTACCGCCAAACAGTAATGTCAGCATTACTGTGTACCGGTTTTGAAGGGTAAGGGTGCTGGTGAAATTACAGGCACATGAGACTAGTCAAATTGTCTCAGGTTGACGGGCGCAGTGGCAGTGCCCCTCAGAATTTTGCGATTTTAAGCTCTGAGTGGCACTGCAACTGTTATGGACAGGCGTGTAGCTGATGGTAATCAGGTGCACGACTTGTTCGTCCCGTCACTTGATATTATCAAAAAATATATGAAAACGGGCAACCCTGCATATTTAATCTTACTCCGTCTTCAAAAAACAAAGACTTAAACTCATCGACTGTACGTATTGTAAGTCAATGCTTATACTCCATAAAATCGACTTAAATGCTAGTGTGACGTCACACTTATATGCAAGTATTTGAATAATAGAAACGCGAAGTAAAATGTAGGATCAATATGCATATAAAGTCCATGGATTAACATCTTCACAATAACACTTAAAGAAATTCGTAAACTAAATACACTCTTGACAAGTATCTAACATTTTTGACAAACAATATTTCTTTACAATTTACACATTAAAAACACTCATTAGACTCTAGGAATTCACTACAACATCTTATATTTTAACCACAAAATACGTAATTAAATTTTCAAATTTTTTTAAATTTTAGCCTTCCAGCGCTAGTAAATACAATCAAATTTTCTCAAATTATCCGTTTAAAACATATCTATTAATTATCTGTTAAAAGTTAACGATAGAAACATAGGCGACACTGAGTCGGAATGATCGAATAACATGAGCCCGACTTGCGGGCTAAACCTGTTCGACAGTTTGTCGTATTGACAATACAGCTGTTTTATGCCAAGTGCGACTGTTATATTTATAATTCATACAGGTAGTCACGTGTCGCCGCGACAGGTCTGTGTCAAAACCGCCAGTGTTGCTAGTCTCACAATAAAATTGGGTTTCAGCATTTCAGTAATACACATTTCTACCGTGTAATGGCATCAGTGTTGCCATTACACGGCAGAAATGTTTATTACCCACAAATATAAACTGGTACCACGGGTAGGTTATTTGAAACTTAATTTTGACATTGGTAGGCATATACATCCAATAGCAACACTTGCTCTGAAGCTTATCATTACCCATTAATCACACTCATATCGTTTAGGATAGGTAATAAAAATATTTATATTGACAAAGAATCGAGAAAAAACAGGGAATAAGTAATCCCTTGGCTGTCTACTCATTAACGCGGAAGGTATGACGCACGTACTGTTTACACAAATTAACCAAGCAGAAAGCTTTATAAATCCAATGCGTAGTCACACAAGATGCAATCCGACTGCAATTGAAAATGTGCAGTTGTATCGCACCACTATTAGGCTCCAGATTGCTCAAATTTTGAATTACCGTTTTTATATCGGGCGGGTGTACTCATAGAAGCTGCAACCATAGTTAAACTAAGGAAAACACAGACATTTTGCCAACTTACTTACTTTAAATTGGCTGGTGCACAAAAGATAAATGCAGATGTAATAAACATTTTGACCAAAATAGATTAACATTTGATTATTATTTTGGTCCATTAACTCTCATTATTCTCCAGAATGCGCCCCGGCAAATAAAAATCTCCATGTCTGCACATATTGAACGGTTACTATAAATAAAAAATTGTTTCTATAAATAACCCAAGACCTGAAACACCTGTTTTGAGAAAAGAACTACTTCATGTAAAACATCATTATTAATAATTAAAACTTTGAAGCTTTTCCGGTGAACATCCGAGTTAATCAGAAGACAGCACCAATTTGTACTTTGGAGACAAGACTACATATTGATATGAATTATTTATAACAATTAACTCCTAAGTAAAATTGTGCGTTAAAAAGGCACACTTATTTAATTTTTTACTTCGCCTTCGTCGTGGTTAAAGTTGACAGGATACTTCAGGGTTTCTTGCAAAAAATTGTGCCAAACGCTTCGCCTATATTTATTTAGTATAAAATATATGGTTGGCGTTCCATTCGGTCGTTGACACAATATTATTAAAGAACAAACCACAAACGTGTGTCACTGGCATAGACTTAGTACTTGGTGCAACGGGCTGGTATCCGCAACTCGACGACAAAGCGCCTATTTTGCGTGTATATAGGGTACCTATATACTAAATCTATGGTCGCTGGCATACTTACATACCAGTTGCAGGCAATTGTAAGTTAACTAGCATATTTATACAAGTAAAAGGCATGCCAGTAAAATGGCGTGTTAGATATCAGTGGAAGCGTGAATCTTCGAAACTTAGCACACGGCCAGCTTGTCTGTGCAAAGTCAAGAGCACGTCAAGCTTTACGCTTAAGACTTAAATCCAACTCTATGCCGCTTACGATAAGAACGGTCCAAAGTGTCAACCTTGGCGTGCTCTTGACTGTACTCATGATTAACAATAATCACTTTTAAATGTGTAGATATTTTTAATTAGTTCCGTTCAAGAATTTTATTGACTACAAAATTCCGCGTGTCTTGCCTTGCCTCTGAAATCAGCCATAAGCTTTTTACTGTAGATCAACCTATACTGTAATCAAATGCTGAGAATAATCACTGTACTCGACAAGGGAATTCTATTCTATTTTTAAAAAGGATGGCTTCTCTTTTAAACAAGGGAATTCAAGGCCAAAAATGTAAACAAACAACTGCCAATGTCAAAATGACATCTGCTAGATTAACAATTTTTTCATGTTAATGTGTTTGATAAAAATAACGTTTTGATAATATTTTATTTGGACATGTAAGTAATTTAGCACTTTTTAATGTCATTTTAGACGTTTTTACAATAGCATAATTCTTACATATTTTTTGTAACGGCAACACTTTTGTGTTATCTCTGATTCCGCCGCCAAGTACAGACTGACATAGCATTCAAATTAAGTTTAATATTAATTAACTAGCTTAGTCTGATCTCAGAGTCAATTGAAACAGATCATTACGAGAATACCCTAAATAAACATAACACTTATATAATAAGCTTTAAGTGAATATATAGAATTTATTACGTTTTGTCTTTTAAACTTCTTAGCAATATTGAACCTTCTGGCAACAGCATTAGTGAATAACTATCATTTCTTTGGTACTTTCCTCACTTTGGCAGGCTTCGGCTTGATTGCGACTTTTCTCTTTCCGGGTAAAACGCGTTTTATAATTAAATCTGGAATATATAACAAAAATTGAATTTAATTTAATAAACAAATAAGTCTTTGGCGATTATGGTTTATTTCCACAGACATATATCTAAATAGACGCCGCAAGTGTACCTACTTCGCGTGCCCAATGTATGTAAACTATAAACGCTTAGTTGCCGCTGCTACGCTTCAGACTGCGTCCGGTCGTTATCGTAGTTAAACATCTATCGAAAACATGAAAAATGCCTAATTGTGCCATTAGAAACTGCAAAAACACAATAACTATGAATAGATGTATAAACAGGAACATTTACTTCCACAGTTAAGTCATTTTGTAATTAAAATATGCAGTTTATTTTAAAATCAATTATTTTCATTTTGAATGAATTTGGAGAAAACAAATATTATGTCGTAAGTGTAAATAAATAAACGAGTGTTTGCATGCGGCGATTCGTGATACATTTTTTTTGATACGGCTTTTACTTGGTGCGGTACACTTGTGAGGCTTCTTTAGTAGGCCATGAATATCAAACAAGCGATACTTTTGTATAATGCATTCAGGTTCGTGCTACAGCCGCTTCGTCATGTTTTAAGTCAAATTTTAAGATTACTGATGTTGTCCCCACTCCCAATAAAATATGAAATAAACACAGGCATTTATTTATTAAAATAAATATAAATATTTTTTTTAGTAAAATAAATAAATCTTGTCTCCGATGTGGAATTTCCTGGGTTTAATTCCTACCGCGGTCTGCACCATGCGTATTTATGTGTCAAACTATCATGCATGCAGCAATGGAATGAAGGAAAACCTGCATTTCGGAGAAGTATCACAAAATTCTTAGAATAAATGTAAAGTCAACCCTCAACACTTTGGGACCCGTACCCACCAGTGAAACTTATGTCGCTTGACTATTACGATAAATATACTCCGAATCGAGAAAAGTGGAGATGTGTCTAGAGCCGTGTATTCCGAATCTAAGGGTCGTATTCTAGAACTCTATTCAATGCTCAAGTCAGGATTGCACTGGCAACACAAGCACTGGAAATACGACCCTAATGGCAGGGCTCGAGTATGATTTCGAGTGCTTTAAACCATACTCAAATCCTGACTTGAGCATTGAGTAGAGTTCTAGAATACGACCCTCAATCTGTTAATTTTAATCTGAACTTCGATAAATAAGAAGAAATACTATTGCTTCTTTTTACACCTCTTCTCCCTGATTTGTTAGTTGAACTAATTTAATTTAGCATGATATATAATACACTTACCACTATTTAATCTTGCGTCTAACTTTATTTTTGTACTGTAAACAACAAAGAAATTTAAATTTATTATTTTGTATTTATTACACATGATGTATTTATTACACATGAGAGATTTGAATACGAGATTGGATAACCAAGCTAAAAAGGAGCTGGGCATGACATGTTGCGTGCGTGGTACTGATTAGACGGAATATATAGAACCAGTAGTAGCAGTACCACTCCTTGCGAAAGAGTTCGTCCAGGGAAGTCTTTACCTATTTCTGCTGCCAAACAATAATGTGAGCATTACTGCTTTACAGTATTGAAGGGTAAGGGTGCTGGTGGAATTACAGGCACATGAGACTTGTCAACTTATATCTCAGGGTGACAGGCGCAGTGGCAGTGCTGGCAATCTTTGCAATTTAAAGCTCTGAGTGGCACTGTAACTGCTGTGGTCATGCATGTCGCTTAGCTTATTCGTCTGTCATATGGTTAAACAAAAAAAAAGAAAGCAACAAAGGAATGTTGTCCAAAAAATGGTTATAGAAACCTGAATAATCTATATAAACTTCATTACTTTTTTCCTTCAGATTTTTCGTGTTATGTTAGTATAAAAAATACGTGGGCGTTATCTTTCTTAAGTGGGCAGTGAGCCAAAAAGTTTAGGAACCTATGTGCTAGGCTTATACTTATAAAAATTAAAAAATTTTAATATAGCCAAAGGATGATGTAATTGCTTTTTTCCTTCTCCACCGCTCGAATTGTGCATGTGCCAAATTTGCGTTTATTTTCACTGTTAACATTTTTCTGTTATGTATTTGTTTGTATTATCGAATAAATTAATCGTTTTTATAAAAACCAAGTGATTACAACAAATCAAATCGTCAATGTGAAAGTGCAATCATTTACTTATCAATAATGTTTACAGCAGTGGATCAAATATCCGGCGGTCGGATATCCTGCTATCCCACCTAGGTGCCCGTCGTATATCCGGATATCCGGCTATCCGGCCTAGATGCCCGCCGGGTATTCGGTATTTGGCCAAATCACTATCCGTTTCATCTCTAGTACTTTGTACAACAAAAAAATTCATTTCATAAGTAATGTCATAAGTAATGCACAAAATATTCATAATTATAACAAAAAAACTACATACAATTCAGATTGATAAGCAATAAAGAAGATAAAGTAAGAATACTTACGTCTTTTGTCTTTCTATGTCAGCCTTATTCCTTCTGTTCAACTCCAGTATCTTCCTCTCTATAGGAGCTGAAACATTATAATTATAACAGTTTATATGAGTTCATTATGTTCTACATTTCTTTAAGCTTTCAAATATTATTCAAAGCTTGCATTTGTATAATCCATATTGTTAGTTGCAATTAATTTGAATTTTTTAGTACAAACTATTTAAACAAATTTTGGCCCTGTATAAAAAAACTATATGGCCCTGATAACACACACAGCAGTACTTTTGAACAACTACCAAAAGTAGATTACAATTTTGCTTTGATAAAAGATATTGCATACTTCAATTTGAAATAATCTTGTTTATAGAAAGATCTACCTCATTTACTGGTAGATGACAAGTTGCTTTTTCAGACTCTGAAATGGTGGATACATCAATATTTGATGTCAGCAAAAGAAATTTGCTTTTTACATTTTGTAACATACTGAACACCATCATTCAATATAGCAAAAGAAGACTTTTGGAAATTAAGTTCCGAATGATATGGATTTTCCGATTTCTGACACACATTCAACAACTAAGTCTGTTTTTTGAGTTCTGATTTATGCAACCGTTTTATTGAAAACAGTAACATCTTTGTAAACAAAAATAACAAAATTTGTTTTAATTATCACGTCTAGTTAAGTATCAAAAGGAAACCTGTTGGTTTTGGCCTTTTTAAGGATAACACTTACTCAATTTAGACAAATCGCCTTTCTTAGCTTCCTCTTCATGCCATTTCACATGTTTGACCAAACAGAATAAGTATTTAAAACTTTGTGAACATTTCGCACATGCGTACATCATTTCACCTGACTCTGTCGGTTTTTCTTCAGTTGTTAAGTTTTCGTTATGATCATTTTTGTCACCGAGATTTATAACTCCCCCAGGTAGTATTTCCAATGTTGGCCAACTTTCTGTGTGATTTGGTTTTGTTATTATCTTCAATTTTTCTATTGTTTTATTTTTTTGTAGTTTTTTGTCGGTTTCCTGTTTCATTTGTACCGGTACTTGCTGTGGAGAGAAAACATTATTTTAATGATCCTTAGATACAGAGAGACCGGCAAAAAAATGTAGAAAAAGTAATGCATGTTGCTTGCTTACCAGTTCCAATCAATTTCTACAAGTAAAAAAATCTATTTCCAGTATAAGCAGAGAGATGACAACTTTTTTGTTATGTAATTTTATTACCAAAATTTAAAAAAACAAAGCAAGAAGTGCCCGACTATTGACACCTCAACCCAGCCCACTAAATAAGCTGAACTAAAAACCGCATAACTCCATTTTTGGATGAAATCCCTTATTTACTCTTCAAGCGCAATATTGGGCAATTAAAGCTCAAAACATAATTTCTGTACTCTAATTTGTTATAAATAAAGATACAATACAGTCACATAATTACTTCTACTAATTGTTTTTTGTGCCTACTCGAAGTTTACGAATTTAGCAGAAAAACAAACAAGAAAAATTATAATACTCACTCCAAACTCAGACTTGGCACTTTCAATGTTTTCCGACACAATTAATACGCCAAGATCATTTACGTCTTCCGACTTTATAGAAACCATGCTTCCTATGTTGGATTCTTCATCTTCCACTACACACTGATCATATTCCCCATCAATAATACAAGTTTCAAAGACTTCGTGAGATTCTGACATGTATTCTATAGATCTGTCTGGCTGAACATCCGACATGCGAACTAGAGGTACATTCTCCAGGTCTTCGCTCTCCATTACGGCCCCTAAATACTTAATTTAACAAATAATTTACAAAACAATGAACACTTTATTTGTGAACTCCATTTCACACAATGTATTTAGTAATTAAAGACGAATTCCATATGTCCTATATCTAAACAGTTGTATTTGTATTATATTACAAACATATAATACGATTTTTTTAAACTTACGAATTAAAACGAAATTCAATGGAATTTTACAACTTTCGATATCGACATTTGACGTTTTCATTTCTTGACATTTTAATGCCTCGCATTTAGAGATGAGATTAACTGCTATATTCGCATAGCACGCTAAATGCTAAATTTTTATAGCGCGCTATTTAAAAAGTGCTAAAATTAGAATTTTTAGCAGCTCAAGATCGTGTGATAGATAATGTAACGAATGGAAAGAAACGTGAAATAGTTGACGTGCGCTAACTTGTTAAGTATAGCATCTATGGTCTGTCTATAGAATAGTTTAGTTTTTTATGGTTAGTTACGACCTACTTCATTTGTTTTGTAACTATTACATAATATGGTGGTTACAGGTTATAGACGATAAATCAATGAGCTTCCCTTCACATTTTAACAATTTACAATGTGCACAAAACTTTACACTGGTTAATTACAGTAATTACACTCATAATAACTTATAATAACGCACACACTCTTACTGTTATATACAAATATTACAACGACTTATTAATTAAACAAACGCTAAACTAACTAAATACATCCAAGTACTTAATTATATCTTAATTTAAATCGCTTCACCGGATGAAATTTTGCTAACGTTCCTTCCACCATTAGCTCAAAATCGTACTAAAACGTAACCAAAATTGTAATTTATAACATAACTACAATTATAATACTTGCTAAGTGGTAAATGTAGCATTAGCGCTTAGCGTAGCGTACTCAAACGTGAAATTTAACATCAATAAACCAATCAACTATTCCGCGTTTCGCACCAAACGTTAAATGCTACAATTCATATGTGAAAGTATTTCACGTTATAATTGTTTCAACCAATGACAAGAGCCGCAATTTTCACATAGAATGTAGTGCCATCTATGAAATAAGTAAGTAAAGCGCGGATAGATTGATGGTATGGCATTGAAATATTGTAAATTTATGTCACTAGATGGCATTTGGTTTAATTTTTTTAACGTACTCCAAACCAAAGTGTAAAAAGCTCGTTATAATTTTAGTACCTTTATGTCTTTCAAATTCTAATTGCTATAATTATTTTCTAATTTAACGTTATAATTTGAGCTATATATTATATTAACCACCTCTACTCGCATTTTTTATCTATCCTCTAAGCTCGCATTCACTGTTCACTACAATTTCAATGTCAAATCGCGACATTTCCGTTCCGGTCCATTACTAACGGATCGCATTGATGCCTTTGGCTCTACATTCAAGTATCTATTTATTTTAATATTGTTTAGACTGATTATTAAATTGTATATTAATTATCACACAAAGGGACTCCTATTACGTAATTAAAATATACATATAATAATAATAAATATTTAAAAAAAATAAAAAGCAGTAATTAATTATATATATACCACACGCAAAATAGGCGCCTTGACGTCGAGTTGCGGACACCAGCCCGTTACACCAAATGCCAAGTAATTATATACATATAATTTATTACTGCGAATGAAGGGATTATCAAAAAACTATTGAAATTGAAAGCTTTTTCTTTATTCAACATGTCTACACAAAGATAAAATAAACTAGAACATCTTGAAACACATAAAAATATTTTACCCTTTTAGGATTTCTTTCGTCGTTTTCCGCATTACTATGCGGAAAACTTGACACTGACTTTAGAGGCTTCTGTAGATTCTGCTATTCAATTCGAATTTCAGGAATACTATGTAAGAAAGTTTTAATTGCCTCCATGGCCGGGAGAAATATTTGTATGGCCTACATTTATATTGGATACCTAATATACAATTAAATATAGTTTATGTATCACCTAAATTAACTTGCACTATTAACCTTAATTAAAGTTATATAAACATACAATAATTTCACTGTTTGCGATAGCCTGACGCATATCTGCGAATAAAAGGTTATTTAATAAGATTGTATGTATTTAGGTTAAATTTTTATACATAATAAATTTATCAATATGGCTATGAATGTGCGCATTATTATATTAGAAGTTTTCATATAACATTTTGAAGTTGCAAAACTGTTGGCTTATTTTTAAAATTGATAGGAGATACAGAGAGCTGGAATTGGACCATAATGTTACATATTCTGCAACAGTATGAAAATAAATAATTTTCACAAGTTAATTAATTTTCATTCGTTAATTTCAAAATTTACTGTTCTGTAACTGAAGCACCATCATTATAATTCCATTCATGTGAGGGAAAATACATTTGAATCAGTGTCTCGTAGATGTCCACATCAATAGGCATGAAAGTACAGAAGATAATCTTCTCCATTCTCTCTACCTCCCTCTTATGTTCATGTTTTTCCAAAAATTTTCTTGCAGTTCTTAATGCAATGTGGGCAGCCAATCTGTTTGGAAAGCCGTAAATGCCTGTAGATATGCATGGGAAGGCGATGGATTTGAGATCATGTTTTTCCATGCAAGCAAAACTATTTTCGTAACATTCTTGGAGCTTAGTTTCTGAACCGTCTTGAGGCCCAACTGTGTGGATTACATCTAAAAATCAAATATATTTTATTTTCGTAAAACAGTTCAATTTCCTATTAAATTTTTTTTAAATATGGCATTTTCAATATTTATATCAAATCCTTATTTGATATAAATATTATTCTCATAATGAGGTATTATAGGAATCTGACCATACTACAGGTATATAGGTATTTTTCGATTATTTTTTATTCAAGTAAAACTGAAGGGTGGACCTCTATGGTACTTGGAAAGTTGTGCTAATAGAATATCCTGTATTGCAACTTACATTTAGCTGGTAAATTGTAACCTCCAGTGATTTTTGCTTGTCCTGTCGGGCAACCTCCCAAAGTGTTACACTCTTGCTGTAAATTTAAAAAAATCATATTATATAACCTTCAATAGGTGAGCATGGCCTCTAATGAACATTAATATTACTACTCGTATTATTCATTAATGGTGTAAATTATTTACATCATTAACAACTTAACATAACATTTTTAGTACAGGAACAACTTAACGTAACACAGACAAAATTGTCACAGTTTTATACATACCAGCTCCCGTGGCATAGCTGTAGCATGCATGCGTAGCCACGCATGATAGTCGCGACGCGCGCGACAAAATTGGAATGGCTGTCTCAATCAGATTTAATTTAGATGGCCAATAGCTTATTTCAATTATATCGCGCGTGTTGCGATTATCAAACGTAGCCATGCTACGGGGGCAGTTAAGCCAAAAACTGTCTCTTATTAGGTTAGCCATTTGTATAGCTTAACCTGATATATTTGTTTAGAACAATTATAATTCTAAAGTACTAAATAATTATTGACATAAACACCATGATGAGTCATACTTGCAACAACTGATTGCATAATGAGGAAAAATAAATTTAATTCACAGTCACAGAAATATGTATGTGATGAGCAACCACACATGCCGACTGTACCTGCAACATTGGACCAGCAGCCCGGTGGATTGCACCATCTACACCACCTCCTTTTTTCAGCAATGAGTTTGCAGCATTCACAATTGCGTCCACCTGAAATTTTAAAAAACAAATACTAGTTTCTTGTAAGGACGCCTCACCACTGCTAATGAGATAATATGGCCTTTGACCTTAGGTTGTCCTTTTTGGACGAAAAGAAGGAAAAGTATGAAAACGGTTGGTAACATAACTTTCAAAGATTGTGGCCAAGTGACTGTATTTTACTCTAAAATAATTTATACATATGTATACAATTATTTTGGAAATATTATGTCTGAAAACTTTCATAACCAAACTGGATTTGAATGTTAGCAGATTCTCAACCAATAACAATAGGAAATTGCACTTAATTTTGAACTAAGTTGTATTATTTTTATTGAACTTTTTACGTTACTTCATTATAATTTTTAATTTTACCTCCAACTTTGTGATATCCCCTGTATAAATAGCCACCTTCTCCAACAGCTGTTTGCTTAAAGCCTGGTTAAGTGTTATTTTTTTGAATTCGTTCAAATCGTCCAAAGTAGGCTTCTTCGCTTCCAAATTTTTGTGCTTAATCGAATAGATACGCCAAGACTGAATTGTATCCAATGTAATGTAATCATTTTTTTCAAATCGCTTTCTTCTGTCTTCAAGGGACATATTTAGAAGGCGGACCTTTTCAGATTCCCAGTTTAAATTAGTAGTCATTTTTGCTAACGAATAAAATCTGTTTTGGGGATGAGCAAACACAGACGCGGCCTGAGAACGAATTAAATTGCAATAAACAACACTATATGGGACAGTAGAATTACACAAAATTACGCATTTCGCCGGTAACATTTTGACGTGATTTTTGACTTTGACAATTTTTTTTTTAATTTATTAAGACTGGCAAAGCCATCAGCTTAAACATGACAATTGATGACATTACGCTGTTCCTTTCTACGTAACAATCACAGACTACCACAGACTATTAGATGCAGACTACGGAGAAGATACTACGTGTAACAATGCCAGTGTCATGATCACAGACATATCTAGATAGACGCCGCAAGCTTAGACCATTTAGCACGGGACCTGGCAAAGCGCAATTTTAGTACCTACTATATTAATTCTGCTAGAAGCGAGATAAACACGCACAGCACAATTTTCTCACTCACACACACTCTTGGAAAAAATTAGATGTCTTTATGAATGGACACTAATTCAAACTGATTTATTGAATGAATGAAATTAAGACATCCTAAATTAACACAAATATAAAAAGTTAATAGATTGCAACAAAGTCAATACTATATTTTTAAATTACAACAACTAGACATATTTAATGTGGTGTTTTTTTATTTTATGCATTACAGCATAAAATCCTATTTTATGCAGCCTACACCCAGCATAAATACGAACTTTAAGAGCATGAGAAGTGAAAAAGTAACTTTAGAGGCTTTTGCAGGTACTGCTATTCGGCGAGTATTGTGGATATACCATGGTTTTAGTACCTAATGGGAAATACAATGTAAGTTTTGCCTATTACGCGGAGACTACAGAAACCTTTCATATTAACCATTTGTTGCAGACCTGCCATTAATGATGTGTCGATTTTTTTGATTCTGTTCCGATATTTCGATCGATTTTTTGCTTTTAGTATAATAATATTGTCCGCACATGCACCTATCATATTAGATATTTTGAAGCAATATGGTTCAAAACGAAATCGATTTTTTAGTTACGTCGAAATAATGTTGATTCATTGTTGTATGTGGTATCCCATGCAATTGACTTCAAAAGATGGTAACCCGGAATCTGTCAAACAAAATTTTTCCACGTAACTCAGGCGTGGGGCGTCGTCGAAATATTTAAAATAATAATCAAATACCACCTCGTCAATGGACATGGTAGCCTAAACAAATTCTTCGGGAGTGCTAGTATACATTTCATTAGAGCCCCACATTGAGTACGGCCAGGTACGCAACGAACACCCTTGTCACTTTTCACCGTTGCTATAGCCGGTCTTTGTTTCATACTATAACGTGTTCATTATTTTACAAAGAAAGTGTTATTTCTGAGTTTTGTTGCAGGATGAAGACGTTGACTTTCTTCTTGGTGGCCTTCTTGGCTATTTCTGTTAGCTTTGGTGTGGATAGGAACAATTTTAAGACGTGCGATCAATCTGGTTTTTGCAATCGGTTAAGGAAGTTTAAGCCGGAGAAATCTCAATATGCAGTGAATTTAGATACCGTTATTGTCCACGGGAGTGTTTTATCAGCTGAAGTGAATACTGTGGACACATCTACGGAAAAAAAAATCATATTGGTGAGTCTTTAAACTTATTTTATTACGTGTTTGATAGAAAAATTGTTAGCATATTTTTTTTAGGTCTAGGTTTGGAATTATGCCAAGCTATTCTTGGAATGAGTTAGTATTTCAAATCTCTGCAGTTATGTTGCATTGATAATATGTAATCATATTAAAATTATGCTTTACTAAATTAATACTACATTTAAATTAGTGCCATTTTATTTGTGTTTGAGCCTACCATTGAGCAATCATTCCTATTCTTTACTAGGTTGGGCCAATGCTCGAAAATAAATAAAAAACTAGAATTTTTTCAGGTACTGGTTTTGTCTTGTTACCAATTATTTTCTTTCAATGGTATATTGTTGGGGATAGTGCAATTACACATAACTAACATTTGATTATGATCAATAATTTAGGCGTCAAATCAAATTCGCGTAATTGTTGTATCAACAAAATTAATGTGATTTGCATAAATCTGTTGTTATCAGTCCATAGACTACAAAAATTAATGCTTACTGTGCAAAAATGAAAGTCCTAGCTATTGAAATAACAAAGTAATAATGTTAAATACTTCTCCTGTGAAATTTGGTTTGGTGGCGATACGTACTATTTACCAATACTACACATGCAGATTTGCACAATCCCCGATAATTTGTTACAAAAATATAGTTAAAACATGCAATTTCTTGCTCATTCTCTGGAGAATCTATCTATCTATCTATCTCTATGTCTAAAAACACCATTGTTAATAAAAATAACACTTATGAAAATAATTTGTTCACTGATGAAATAAAAAACAATTAATATGTGCGATTTTCGCAGTGGCGGTACGCTCTACGTCTATCAGCGCTAAAAGATGGCACATTCCGTATTGAAATGGACGAAGCAGATCCTCTATATCCCCGGTATAGAACTCAGCTTTCCCTGAATGGAGAACCTAAGGGAGATAGGTAAGTAAACTGTAAAAATTTATTGCCCATTTTTAATTGTCTTTTGGTGTCTCTTAAGGCTTTCTGCATACGCTCATCTCTGGTGGCCAAGTTTTGACAACTCGGTGTGACCCCAAAAAAAAAAATGAAAAGCAAGATTATAAAAAAAAATAGATAGATAATTAAAACAAGAGACTTTAATGAAGTTCTTCACTAGCCCAAACTATAATATAAAAAGTAAATATGACAGTTTTGTCATATTTATAGTGGACATTTGACAAACATAGGGAGTTTAATGTAATTTTGGATAGAGAGGACTTGATTTTATTACTATTGTTCATCAATCTCCACCGATTATACTAAGTTCCCTTCTACAGTGTTGTCATATCCATGTAACCAGAATAATGTCTGTTTGTTTAGTTGTGTGATTTTTACTACTGGTAAGTTAAGGCTACACCGACAAGAGCATGGCTCTTAAATAAAATGAATGAATGAAGTTAAGTGACAGACAGCCCCTAAGGGCGCGCTCCCATTATGTCGTAACGACAGATAGTCATGCAGTTGAAAGTGTCGTGGCGTGTATATTTAAATGAAGTGGTTCACATATAGAACAACACGATTAACTGTGATGGGAAGAGCTGGCACGACAGTCGTCAGACAATAAATAAAACGTCACGATAAAAATTTGACGACATAATCGCAGCTTCAAACGATTCTGTCGTACAAACGACAAGGCAGTTGCTGTGAACCGATGAATTGTCACGACAGTCGTTCAATGATAAAATAAACGTCTTTGACACAGTCACGGTAGATAGTCGTGATATGGGAACAGGCTAAACGCGGCAGTCGTCTAACGATAAATAAAACGTTACGACATAATATGAACGCACCCTAAGGCCCCATGTACATTAAAATATACATAACATGTGAAGTGATTCAGACCCAGACAATATTATCCCTCTTCACGTAAACGCCCAGTGTCCGTAGCGCTATACGAAAACTTTATTACAAAAGTAATTTGTAATCAGGGCTTAATTTCATTATAAACCTTTCAGCTAAGACAGTATTGCAAGTTGTGTCTGCATATAGTGTTTTACACTAATACTTAGGAAGATATGCTGCTCATCCGATACCCAAATTACCACTGTAATATATAATAAATCGAATAAAAAATATTGATAAAATAGATTTATAAAGAGTGTGTGAGCAGGCAAGTGGGTACGGTCCTACTAAGGCGAACTTACCATTGAGGATGACGTAAAAAAAGGCCAGGTCAAAAGAAACCTTAACCAACAAGCATGTATGAAAGACTGATTTATTTTTTCGTGTTGATGGGGTAAAAGGTATGTATCAGAACCATAGCAAGTGGAGAGCTATTGTCTTTGCTTGTCGCCCTGATGGGAAAAGGGCGTGCTGTATATGTATGTATAATAAAATGGTTGTGTTCGTTTCAAGTGTCATAAAACATTTTATTGCCTAGTTAGAACGAAGGGAAATTGTTAGTTGCCAGTTAACTAACACTTTAGTTATTGGTTAATTAACTGGAGGAAATTTGATACACACATCACGCCTTCCGTCTTCACTGGGGTGGGCAGTGACTATGGACCTCCACTTACTACTCTCCAGACAAACCTTTTTCACCTCCACTCCTATCAGTGTCATCATACATGCCTGATTATTCTAGGTATTTTAAACTTGGCCTTTTTAAGGTCATCCCCAGTCTGATCGAGATATGTGCGCGCCTCCATCCACATTCGTTCTATAAATTTGTGCACAATCCTTTAATAGCACCACAGTCACGATAAATATCGAATATAGCCTAATATTTAATTTACAATTTTGTTATCATCATTTAATGATACCTAATTGTAAATTAAATTAAAGATAATATGTAAACTAGATAATATTCCCAGTCTCTATACCGTAGATTTAGTAAATCTATGCTCTATACAAAGAACTGAAAATGAATCGGCAACCAGGTTGTGACAATAATGATAATTATAACTCTTATTCAGTTTCTCTATAAGTAAACAAAAATGAGCACCAATGTTATTGTTAATTCGTCATAATTACCGATTTCTTAGGGTTTTGGCGATTGCTACAATTGGAAATAAAACTACTTTTTTTAGGATCCAAATCCTTTCTTTTATGAAAAAAAAACGAGATTTACACCTGATAAAAAAATTGTTTAATTTCGAATTGTTATAATTACATTGTAAACTTGAAAGTTTTTTTTTCTGTGTTCTGTTATCAGTTTTATGGGATCGATTTTTTTTTATGATTCTAAGTAATGGGACGAACAAGTCGTGCCCCTAATGGTAAGCGACACGCCTGTCCATAACAGTTGCTGTGCCACTCAGAGCTTTAAACCGTAAAGATCTGAGGGGCACTGCCCATTACTCTGAGACATAAGTTGAAAAGTCCCTGTAATTTCTCCGATTTCCTGTAGGACCAAAATATGATACGTATTTTTCGTAATGAATTCTAGTTTAAGTGACCTTGGGATTCATATTAATAATCATGTAATCCATACATGGAATTTCTTAGTTTGAGATCAACTGGCTAAGCATCTAAAGGCCTATCTATGTACACGGCGTATTTTATACGCGCAGAGGACGCGCTGTTGACACGCTGATGACGCGCGTTAACGCACGATTCAAACGAGATTCAGTAGTAGACAGTAAACCTGCGCACACATTCACAAATTCAAACGAGCCGTAAAACGCGCGTTTCACCCGCGTTTGTGAAACGTGCATTTACGGCGCATACTCTCAATAGTAGCACAGTGGCGTCGGTTGAGACAACACTGCTTACGCTAACTTTATTAGTGATTTTAAAAAGAAAAAAATGTAACACAACCCCTCCCCCTTTCCTCAGTCTTGCAACGCGATGTTTGATTCGATGCAAACGCGCTTCGAACGCGCGTTCACATCGCGTATTTCGCGCGTTCATATCGCGTATTTCGCGCGTTTGAATCGATACAAACGTAACAATCTGCTTTTTGAATAGCTTCGGCGCCGTAAACGCGCGTTCAAAGTGCGTTCGTGAAAAGCGCGTCGTCTGCGCGTATAAAATACGCCGTGTGCATAGGCTCTAATCTAAGCTCACTATTGCTGTTAAAATGGTGCTGTTTTTACTGATTGTCTTCTCTCTGTATAAAAGTTTAAAGGTCAAGTCACGTTTTTAAAAGGAACACTGGTTCAAAATGACAACACTGTCAAAAGTTTGACAGATAAGTGTAATAATACTTGAAAACGTCACATTGGTTAAACTCTACCGGTCATTCGTAAGGCAGATTCCCTTGAGAAGAATGAGCAGGAAACTCTAGGGGTTGCTCTTTACTCTGCCTCCGTGGCCGAACGGTTACCAAGCCGGACTGCCATGCAGAGGTCCCAGGTTCGATTCCCGGGCCGGGAGAAATATTTGTATGGCCTACATTTCTTTCTCTCGTGAGTTTGGGTTTATTGTGTGCTTGGTTTGGTTAACATAGGGTTTCCCTAGTGCAGCTCTATGTTAAGTGTTTGCGTTATATTATATGTATTATTAGTTGTATAAATGGCAATACTGGGCCGCAAAGACATAGATATGATCGATTACCACGTTTATAAATCCACATTTTTTTTACAGCTTGAAATTGGTATCAAACATAAACGGCCAGTTGACTGTCAAGAACGGCCAAGGTCACAGTGTCGTCATCACAGCTGAACCCCTTAAATTCGAGTTCCTCGACAAGAAAGGAGACGTAGCAGTTGTTGTGAACGAGAATTCTCAGCTGCTGGTTGAACCTTTGAAGGAAAAGGGAAAGAAAGCTGTTGAGAATGATGATGAAGGATCGTTGGCTGTGGAGGCAGTAAGTGATATTTTTATCTTTTCTGGTCTTTTGTGGGGAAGTTCAAAAGAGGGTTGTGGTTTTTTTCTTTAAAGTTAAATATTGCATAACATTACATCTGTAGAGCTTAGACAATCATATATACACTTTTAGCCAAATACTTTCGGCAGACCACTTCGCTTGTCGAAAGCGACGTAGCCGAGTCGCGATTCACAACCGAGGCGCTTTGGTCGATTTCGGCTGCCAACTACCGTCGTCAGACGACTCACTATTTAGGCTTTATTGAGAATGGCGGCGGGCGCGGGTGCGTCTAAATGAAATATACGTAGACGCTTGTTGTGTTCACAGTGGCCGCGCGCGCCAGCGCCTGTGTCGAAGCGGGCGCGGGTGCGGATGCGTGCGAACGGTGCGGGTAGATTTATTGGCTCGGTCCGCCTGTACCTATCGCAATGCTTGGTTCGTTTGTTTGGTTCTGTTTGCGATTTCGATGTGTAGATCTACCCGCTCGTAGCCGCTTCGGCACTGAAAGGGAAGACGCCAATGCGTCCGCATCCGCCGCCGCGCCCGCGCCTTCACTTTAAATAAGCCCTTATACCGGGTAGCTTGCCGCCTTAGGCGGGTAAGCAAGAGTCGCATGACGATTGATCAGATGTCCAAAATGTAAACAAAGGTGTTAATAGAGCAAAAAAAACTAGTAGGTAGTTTCCTATTTTAGATGATAATAAACGTTTAGAACTTTTAGAACTCTTTTAAAGCTATAATCCGACAAAATTTAGAACAATTCATGTTTTGCAATATGTATTTTTACTTAATTTCGTTTAATACAATAATTATTTTAAAAGACTCTGTTTAAGGTCGTAAATAATTTTATGACACTGATAACACAATCGGAGTCAAAAACATTTTTTGTGCCGCCATTTTGCCGTGTCATAGATGTCATTCGTATTCCGCGATACGGGGTTAGATTATGTGCGTATGTGCTTTATTTTTATTAAGATACAAAGAAGTAGCCAGTAGCCACGTTGAGACGACAGACACTGGTTCCGAGGACAACAGTAGGGTCAAGTATCTTTAATTGTGTTTGTACTGTCTTTATATCAATGTTAATTTTAAAAAGTATTTTAACGTGAGACAATGTATGTGAGTCGCGCTTAATAAGTTAAGTCAAGTGTAGCGTCACACCTGACGAAAAGTCAGCGGCGTAATTTGATGTTTTCTTTTTTTTCTGAGATCACTATTTTGTAATAGAGATGAACTGAATTTTCAACAATGTACTAACATTTTCATGGATAGTACTTACATTTCATGGATAGCACACAAAAATGTCAGTACTTTCTTGCCGTAGTGCTTATATATTGATTCAAAATAGACATACTTTTATTGGCACAATACAATAACACAAAACCACACAAAAACAGTTTACGTACAAATAATTATTTGACATATAATTACAATTAGAATTAAAGTAAACATACAAAGTAGATAGTCTGGTATGGTCTGTGTTGCAGCGTCATGCCAACACAGGACTTAACTCAGTATATGCTGCAGTAACATACTACAGCACTAGTTCTCAGTAAGCGCGTAGAGCGCCAGCGGTAAACGCAAAATTAAAAATATATAAATACTGCTATGTAGCAGTATTAATTATAATAATATGTAATGATACTCAATGTAATATGTATTACATTGATTATTATTATATATTATAATTAATACGTAAGTAAATAGAATTAATTAATACGCAAATAAATATATAAAAGCAAGGTAAGATAAATAATAATCAGGGATCGGTATAGGTTTTTTTTTTTTTTTAATTTATTCATTTCAAAAACATTAACTATTTTATTACATTAACGCTAGGTAAAAACTTAATGGTTTAACCACCTAGCGATAAGGTAAGGTAGAGTTTTTTTACCTAAACTTCGAGGAACATAGACTGCAAATGGAGATTACCTTACGACAATATTTTTTAAGTACTGGACCGGTTCGGGATTCGGGAAATAACTTAAGTACATTAAAAATTGACGTAATTGGGGACAGGCAGGTACACACTATTTATCTTAATTGTGCTACACAGTAGGTCGGATCAGCGATATTGCGGACATCGGATTTTTTTCACGATACCTCTCTAAAAAATCGAGATGCGAGATGCCTCGAAGCTTAGGTAAAAAAACTCTACCTATTCCGATCCCTATAATGATAATATAAAAATTCCTATATACTAAAACCCAAATATAATGTGATTATAGGGTTATACTCCGTCAGCGAATCTTTTACCCCGAAAATCCAGGAGCAACATGGCCGCCCGCTGGCTACTAAAATATTCAATATATGTAAATAATTGAATTTTGTCAGTACGTTGTTTATACTTCTTTATGGAAAAGCAGTAGGCAGCTACTACACAGAAAGCACTTGAAAATTGCGCTGTAAAACTAATAGCAGGTTTTTTCAGGTCCTTATACCAAAACGAGGTACCCCGTAGTAACATATTATAATTTTATATTTACGTTAAACGTCGTTACTGTCAAAGAACGGGCTAATATTAAGAATTTGATCCAACTATCTTATTGCAAAACACGTGAAATTATAGTATTATAAAAATTGGGCGATTACAGTTGTTTAGGGTACTAAAAATATCCCAAAGATACGAGTGGAAGTTCTAAGCCAAAGTTCAATATTAAAATTACGTAAACATCTGAATAGCGCGTTTTAGAAAATAACCGGTCAATGCCATCTAGCGTGGTTTTGCGTAAACTACATACATTGGCCTAGTGACGTGTTACGGAAAAAATTCCATTTTGAAAAATTTATATTTTTCCCCGTTTGACAGTGACACCTGTCAAAAATTGAAGGTACTAAACTCTATTTAGAAAATTACAGTTAGCAATGTTTATGCAATTTTATTTTAAAATTAATGCTAAATAAAACATTAAAGGATATCTAAATTGCCTAAACTTAAAAGATCTGCCTATAACTATTATTTATTATGCGTAGGCCTATTAACTGCCTCCGTGGCCGAACGTTTACTATGTTGAACAAAGAGGTCCCGTCCCCGGGGTTAAATTGTCGAGATTTATTTCTCTTGTGAGTTTGGATGTAATTTGTGTGACTATGGCACCCGCAATACAGGGTTTCTCTAGTGCGGGGCTTTGAGTGTGTTCGTTACAAAAAAAAGTAGAACATAATATGAGGTTTCGAATTAAATTCTTCCAAATTTTCAGAATTTTTTTCCTGAAAAATTTTCACTACCTACTCGAAATTTTTCAGTATCAAATGTTAAAAAGCAGTGAATAGTTCACTCACCTCTACATTTTACAACCGTTTGTTATTGTCTTGTAATTGTTCTGCAATGTCAAAAATGTAACCACGCAAGTACATTCCGTTATGTTTACTCATAATAATGATGAGAATGTTCAACATAAATATTGTTTACTTTTATTCCATTGTCTTTCATTATGGAAGTTTGCGTCTCTTTTTAAAAGAATTAAAACCAGAGTGCGTAAGGGTAAGGAATAAGGCGAATGCGTCACAATCGACTAATATAACAAGACGCAAAATAGGCGCCTTGTCGTCGAGTTGCGGACACCAGCCCGTTACACCAAGTACCAAGTACCAATATAACAAGACCATCCACCTCATGTAAATTGGTCTCCAAAGTTAAATAATCTTTGTCATAGTTGACTTGAGGGTTGACTGCCTCCGTGGTCGAAAATACCTGCCACGCAGAGGTCTCAGATTTCCGGGCCGGGAAAAATATTTATATTGCCTACATTTATTTCTCTCGTGAGTGTAATTTGTGGTTGTCTATGGCTCAACTCACGCTGGCGCAGAGTCGAAGCGTCGCGTCGCGTTGTTTTCAACTACAAAAAGGCGAAGGCGCGTTTCCATATTTGCATAATACCTTAATAATGGGAATGTAGAGATGAAGTTGCTATAGGCGAAAAACACGACGCTTCGACTCTGCGCCAGTGCGTATTGAGCCTATGTGTGTGTCCATGGTACCCGCGACACAGGGTTTCCCTAGCGCGGGGCAATGTTGAGTGTGTGCGTTATTATTATTATTATAGCTAAGCAAATTACACTTTCATTACACAAACCGTCATATTGATTATACTCTACTGTTCTACTTTTGTAATGGTAGAGCTCGTAGTGAAAGAGTTCGTCCATGTTCCAAGAGTTCAGCACCTTACCTAATTCTGCCGCCAAGCAGTAATGTCAGCATTACTGTATTCTGGTTTTGAAGGGTAAGGATGCTGGTGAAATTTCAGGCACATGGGCCTTGTCAACTATGTCTCAGGGTGACGGACGCAGTGGCAGTGCCCCTTAGATCTGATGTGTCGCTTACAACCAAGCGCATGACTTGTTCGTCCCGTCTCTCAAAACTCTACTGCCCATTCGAAGGCAGATCCCCCTGAGAAGAATGAGAGAGACAAGAAACCCTAGGGTTGCTATTTGTTAATTCCACAATCTCTACCCTTCAACTTTTACTCTGACATCGATCTCAGGCGGTAATTCACAGAGATCCCTATCTCCAGTAAGACGTGATAATGCCTATTTACAGCCAAACATGCAACAAACGATACCAATATTGATAAAAGTTGACATATTTGCGTCAAGTAACTTCGTGGATTGCTCTTGAGATTTTAAAGCACTGCAACTGCAAAATATTTTGAAGGTGAAAGATAAAATTTACGTTAAATAAACTTCAACAAAATGTATATGTGTGTATTTTTATTACTTTGGGATACCGTTTAATATCTTTTGATTAATAATCGGAAAAAGGTGTTCCAAATATATAGATACATGTGTACATATAGCTACAAGGAATGACTAAGGGTCATATTCCAGAACTCTACTCAATACTCAAGTCAGGACTTGAGTATTGCAGTGAGCACTGAAAATCATACTCAAGTCCTTGCCATTAGGGTCGTATTTCCAGTGCTTGTGTTTCCAGTGCAATCCTGACTTGAGCATTGAGTAGAGTTCTGGAATACGACTCTGAGGGTCGTATTCTAGAACTCTACTCAATGCTCAAGTCAGGACTTGAACAGACTTGTGTATGATTTCAAGCACTGGAAATACTACCCTAATGGCAAGGACATGAGTATGATTTTCAGTGCTCACTGCAATACTCAAGTCCTGACTTGAGTATTGAGTAGAGTTCTGGAATACTACCCATAGAGTTGTTAATACTTTTTTCGAATTCCGGAAATTGTTTTACTACATCGTACGACAAAACTACCAGCTGAGTAGTTTTGTCCGATAATGTTGTAAGTCAAAGTTGGATTTTAACGTAATTCTAGTGGTGCCATGTAAAAAAAATGCAGTAGATTACTGACTTTTCATTACAGTAAACCTGCTTGGCTTTAAATTAATAAATTAAGTATGGTGGCAGTACTTCCCTGGACGAACTCTTTCACAAGGAGTTCTACTGCTACTAAATGATGAATATGAAATAATTCCGCGAAGCAGGTTGACTGTGATGAAAAGTCAGTTATCTACTGCATTTTTTTACATTGCACTACTACAATTGACTTCATAGGTGAGTAGTTTTGTTCTACGATGCAGTAAAACCATTTCCGGAAATCCGGAATTCGAAAAACGTAATCAATTAAAATTTGGTGGTTTAAACAACTGTATGTCCCTCCTTGTAGCTATATCTATACATATTTCGTATCTATGTATGTGGAACACTTTTTTCCGACTATTACTTTTGATATGCATACACAAAAGACGGTGGTGACATTAAGACGGAATACGGTACAGGTGGATAAGAGAGTAGTTGGGAATACAATTTTCCCAATGGCTGGTGAAGAGCAGCTAGAGCCGACAATGGGTGGAATTACTTGTAAGCCTCAGCGGTTGCTGGCATTAGTAAATAGGTTAAAATTCAACCGACATTATTCGTTCTATTTATCGTAAGGGGATTCATAGGTCCATGCAAGCTCGTCGTTTTCGTTTCCCCTTTTATCTATCAACCAGAATCACTGAATTGCTGTTTTAACTGTTTTAAAGTAAAATTAGCTTATTCTTCTTACGAATGATTTTTGTAGCGGTTATAGAAATATTTTATCTGCAAGTGGAGGTCTGGAGACCTATAGGGTCACATAGTTTAGGTTCCTTTGCAGACAACAAGTTTTGTTTTCTGCCTGAATTATTCTTGCACAACAATGTTTGTGGAGAAATAGATTATTATTGTTATTATAGATAATTTTTACATTGTCTAACAAATCGCATTACTAAGTTTCAAAGCGTACACAACAAAGAATATTATTCCACTCCTTAGCTGTCGTCATGAAAAATCTTAGATAAATAAAGTGTTATTGAAATGGTTATCTGACAATTCTGACATGTTCCGACGTTCTTAATATTAGAAGTGTTTATTGTTTTGTTTCAACGTGAATGATAAGCAATAAGGGTCAACTGACACTGAAAGCGCAGCGCAACGCCACGAACTTTAGCCTTATAAACTTCTTTGTAAAAAAAAAAAAACATTTTATATAATATTATGTAAGAGAATCGAATAGGTGGCATGGTATCGATAAAAAAAAATGGTATTTTACTTCTCTATTAGTTTAACAGCATTTTTATTTATATAAAATTTGATTGTGATAGAAATTGGGAGATAAACATTCAATTGCACATCGTCCAATAACTTAATTGTTTTATTAACGCACGCGCTGTGTCTAGTTTTGTTTTGATTAACTACAATATAGTGTTATAGTTAATAAATAATTATAGTTAGAGATTTTTTCTGCAACTCAAGTTTAAAACAACAGGTATGGTCAAACCGCCTTTTTGAAGATTTGTTTATTGAGGTTCATCAGCAATTGTTACATCGATGCATAACTATTTCAAGATGAAACACAGCTTGAATTAAATTGATCAGAATAGTCTTAATATTACCGTGTATATATATATATATCAAGAAAAAGAACAAACTGAATATAACGATAAAATATGATAATCAGAATAAAAATATACATTCTAAATTTAAAGGTTTAATATATTTTTTTTTTTTGCAATTAATGCTAAGAATACTGCTAGTTAACTTGCTAAGGATTGCCTTGAGTACACCGGCTATCCAGCCCGAGAAAATATCTACTGTTGCACTATACTCATTGTGTATTGTGTCTTTCTAAGATATTGTGCCTTTTTAAATATAGATAAAGTTTATAAACTAAGTAAAGTTTTGTGCCGCAACTGCATAGTGCCGCCGCGCGTCGCCGCGTTTCTTAGATTTAAGTGTGAGGTTACCCTTACTATAAAATCTTTATCATTATTAACTTAATTAACTAAGGTTAATGGCTTGTCCTATTACTAGATGGCCTCGTCCTTTATAGTCTATTAACGGCGTGTATTGTTTAGTGGGTTAACTGGCTATACTAGACATGGGGAATAGCGTTACATTTCTATCGCCGTGACTGTCGTTCCGGTTCCAAAAAAATTTCATCATTGGTGAGAAGAAAAAAGACCCGAGGGTTTAATTTGGGGCATTATAGTCAAGTTAGCCTGGATGCAATCGTACTATTTACGTGCAAGCTATATTATTATAATAGGGGTTTAAATATGAAATTGCCGATTTATTTTACTGGCCACTTTAAATTAAAATTAAACCTGTATGGTGTTCGATTTCAGAGTGAAACGTTTTTCACACGAAAAGTAAAACATGCTTAACTTAAAAAACATGATATTTGATTGTTCGACTTTCAATTGTTTTTACGTTCAGCTTTTAACGTGAAGACAGATACAGCGAAAATCTGAGTACCTAATTTTCGAATACGAATTTCCACATGGAGTTAACGTAGCAGAAACTGTCAATGCTGTATTTGGAGAGGATACGGCATACGCAAATACGGCAAACGCCGGCAATACGGCAAATTACGACTTGAAGAAAGAACCACGAGGAAGACCAGTCACAAATGTAAATAACGTTGAATTGAAGGTAATGATGAAAGCCGATCCTTATCAAACTACCACGAAACGTCATGGTTTAATGTTAGCATACCCACAATATGACATATGGCGTTTGAATAATGACGACGGAACTCGCAGCAAAACAGCTTCACCGTTATTGCTCTATGATAACGCAACACCTCACACTGCTTGAGAAACAGTTTTACTACTACAAGACCTGCAGATATAAATTATCCATCATCCTACATATTCGTCGGACCTCGCCCCGACCGACTACCATTTTTTCCCGCAATTTGATTTTTTTTTGTATGGAAATAAAATTCCCAGGAAGCAGTACAAAAATCCCTTCACACAGCTGTGGAGTCCAGGTCTCCAGAGTTCTATCGCAAAGGTTTAAATGACCTTCCGATTACATGGCAGAAATGTATAGACAACAAGGGAAAAAACTTTGATTAAACAAATATATTTAATCTTAAAAAAAATTGTTTGAATTTTTCAGTGCGAAACGGCAATTTCATACTTTAACCCCTAATATTAAAAAAGTATTGTAACGTCCCTATTTATTTGTTATTTGCTATCGTAACATTTTCTTAACACATAACATTAGCATTTATACATGAGATCGTGTTGGCAACGACTTATTTTGTTTACATTTAACATTATTAACTTATTAATAATTATACTATTTCAAAATAAGTGTGTATATGACCCGCTTGCAGAGTCATTTTTAATTACTCTACACTTCAGTCGCTGATAGCTGTAAAGGTACCTGAGTGAAGAAAAACTTTCATAAATTTCTCTCAGATGGCGCTAGGGCAAAAAAGTCGTTAAAAACCAACAACATAGGTCTGCAACAAGCACATAGAAAAATTCGTTAGGTCTGCTGATGCGTTCTTTAGCTTAGTTGGGAGAGCGTCGGCCTGGTATGCTGAAGACGCTGGTTCAAATCCAGCCGAATCGAATGAATTTTTCTCTGTGTTCAATCTTTGTATTAATAAATACTCTCCACCCAACGTACATACTCTTTACGCCCTTTTTAGAGACCACAGCCTTTCTGGGAATGGGAAAGGAGTGAAAGTGGAGTGAAAACTCCATCTGGAGAAAGGGAAAATGGAAATGTTTATATGTACCATGACCCGATAAGCGACAATTTCAATTCGTAGCTCTTGCCTTAATTAACAAACAACTTTCTGTAAAGAATAAAACTTCACGATATATTATTTTTGCTGCAGGAAGACGAAAGTGCATGGAGTGAAACTTTCAAGTCCCACCACGACAGCAAACCACGTGGTAACGAGGCTGTTTCCATCGATATCTCTTTCCCTGATGCTGACCATGTCTATGGTGAGTACGGAACATCCTTCATCAGACTTTATGCATTTAAAGTAAAACTAGTTTACCGTGACAAATTTAGCTTCTTGTTTTAAATTCACTCATATACTCATATTCACTATTGTATTTTCGCTCATCTCAATAGAACTCATTTTCGCGAAGAAAATATAAAAGTACACAAAAATAAAAACAAAGAAGAACTTCCAAGTACTTTCGTTTATTTTACCACCATTTTTTTAAAGTATGTGTTGCAGGCATCGAGTATATTGCCCGTTTGCCAGAACAACGTGTTATCTCTAAAACATGGACATTCGACTGAACTGGCATATCTCAACTTTTACAACTTTACACGATGAAGAAAAAAAATTGTTTGTGTCATTTATATAGCATCTTATTTATTAAATAAAAATACGTAGTTTTACCTACGCATTCTTACTTAATAAATAAGATGTGAAAGTTGTCAAAATTAAGATATTACCGGTTGCCAGTTCACAGTTGATATATAAATAACACGTTGTTCTGGCAAACGGGCCGTTGCAGGTATAGTTTAGGTAAAATAAGTTATACCATAGAGATTTTTTTTAAATCTCGCAATTACAGACACTGATGATCGTGAACAACATGACAGATTTTCTTTTTTTTTTTCCTTCGTTCCGCGTGGAACAGGCGAAGGTCAGAGACCATACTGCCTAGTCTTTAGTTGCTCTTTTTCTTCAGTACAAAATGTTTTTAGTCTGTTTAACAGCTCTTTGTTAGTAGATATATTTAAAAGTTTAGAGCAGTAGATTTTGCCGGTTTAGACAAAGAGTTGCACGCTCAATAAATGACACACTTAGTGGGTTCTTTTTTAATGTAGTACAAACATTTCCAAAAACGTTTAAAAAAAAACGAATTTACTAAATTTCTCGGTAACTTGTCTAACTTTGTTCTGATGTATCAGTTTTGGGTATTGCTCGACGATGTTGAATCACTATTATGTCTAGATGCTCTGTTAGTCGAGATGTTACCAGGATTGGTGAACACGATTTGTTTAACATAATTATGTATTTTTTTACAAGGTATCCCCGAGCACACGGACAATTTCGCCCTCAAAACGACTACAGACGGCGAACCGTACCGTCTATTCAACTTGGACGTGTTCGAATATGAATTGAATAGCCGCATGGCTATTTATGGAGCTATACCTGTTATGTATTCACATGGGTAAGTGTACTTATGGCTATACAAATTAGAGCTGCATTTCTGCGCTCCGGGAAAAAAAAGTGAGACTCGGTGCTTTCTCCAATCCCGGGAAAAACGAGACTTTGAAGCCTATTTCAAAGGAAGGTTTGCGTTAGTGTAACCAGAATAAAAAAAAATTATTTCATGACGCCAAGTGACGAGACGAATCGTATCGGTGCTATAAAAAAGGAAAAAAAAAAACGCTTACAAAGTATGTTAGTAAAATATAGTGTTCATTTTCATGAATGATGGACATCCAAATCCAATGTTTAAGAATTGGGGTGTCCGTCCTCTCTGCTGTCATCCTAAGAAGACTGTTGGTGTGGCGTCTCAGTACACTCTGGACGCTATATAACGGTCGAAAGTTATTTACTGTGTGCACAAGCGCAAACGCGTGCGTGAAGTGGTAGAGTTACCCATTTTATCATCTGGTTTAACGTGCACAGTGCTTTTGTAAGAGCAAACGAATGCATTGTATATGTAAATAATATTATCATTACGTATATGATTCTATTTATTAAGTAAACATCTCGAATTCGTCGTCGTACAGTTATTGGTCGCTAGATGGCAGCACATTGATCGAAATTTCAATATAAAATCAAGACGCCATAATTTGCAATAACAGATATTGAACTTTCAACGATATGCCAACAGGGTAAAGTTTAAATTATATTACCAGTCCAGAATTAGCTACCTTTTTAAACTAGAAATTACGACCAATCATTATTAAGATTTCATAGTGTTTTAGTTTTTTTTTATAATATCAAAATATCAAGTGACAGGTCGCACATTTCGTGAGCCTTATGGTAAGATATACGTCTGTCCATAACAGTTGCATTGCCACTCAGAACTTTAAATCGCAAAAATTTGAGGGGCACTGCCACTGCGCCCGTCACTCTGAAACATAATTGACGTCTCATGAAGTCTTATGTGCCTGTAATTTCACCAGCAATCTTACCCTTCAAAACCGGAAACAGATAACAGTACAGTAGTCCCCTAAGAGCGTTGTTGAGTTGAACACACAACGCACAGGGCTTTTTTTAGTGTAATTGCTTCACATCTGCCACGTGTATAAAGTCTGACATTTATGTTTTAAAGATCACCCGAAAAATCACCCGATTTTAACCAACGTCGTTTGAGCATGCTAATATTATAATACCTTTGTTATCAGAACAAAACGCAGCGCTGGTGTATTCTGGCATAATTCAGCTGAAACCTGGGTGGACGTAGTGAACTACGCCGAGGGCACCGTCGTGTCTTCGTTGGTCAATTTGGTCACTGGCGGACAGAAACGGCGTGTCGACGCTAGGTAAGATTAAAGTCGGATCCAATGTTGTAACCATACCCTGTGGGGTCGCTGGTAATTTCTAAGAGTGGGATACTTAAAAATTTGACGACCTCGGTGGCTTAGCAGTTGGAACTGTGCTCACAGATGAGGAGGTCGAGCTTGATTCCCGATAAGACAAATATGGGAAAAGATTTTTTTCTAAATTGGTTAGGTGTTCTGGAGAATTAATTTCGCTGAACTACTCTGGTATTTACAGTGGAGACTTGGCAATGGATGCAATCAAGCAAAAACTAAAAATATTTAGGCATTTTATTGAATCAACTTAATGGAGTCAATAATATGTTTATCTGTATAAATTAACCGACTTTAAAAA